TCTCTCTCTCTCTCTTTCCAGAGCGATCGCTTCGGACGTACGAATTTATCCAGAAGAATGTATGATCGCCATCAACGCGGAAGCTTTGCGTTTGTTTCTTTCCATCGTCGACTCGTGTCCGCGCGTGTTCCCTCGTTCGAGCGAAGCTTATCTGCCTCGCGATTTACTACTACGCGTCGAGAGAGTTTATTCGCCGGCTTACCTTCGGCCTTGCATCGAACCCTTCCGTTCGCTCCCGATTTCAGAGCGAACCAATAACCAAGTATTTACGCCATGGCGATCGATACCGCGCGAATTTCATGGTCACCTGAAATAGCCTTTTCGAATTTATGGAAATTCACCGGCTCTCCTCTCTCTCTCTGTGTGTGTGTGTGTGTGTTTTGGATAATTACTGTATGTTGGCCGCGCTCGTGTCATTTTGTGCACAGCCGATCGGCCGTAATTGAATTTTTCGAGCTGCCTTCCTCGAAACGCTCCAAATATTTTCTCTCTCTCTCTCTCTCTCTCTCTCTCGTCCACGCAGGTTCTGAATGGTAATTAAATGGCCAATGGAGAAGCGCAACGCAATCTCTGTCACTTTGCTTTTCTTTCTATTTTTTGTTCTTTTTTTTTTTTTCTTTCAATATTCCAATCGATTACGATATCTCTATCACGTCGGATAAGAGATCTTGAAAATCTGGAATGTACGATACCGAGGTCCTATATAAGGGGGCGATGCATTAACGCAGCTGCAACATTCCGAGAATCATCGGGGACCATCGCTTTTTTGTTTTGATTTGATTTGATTATCAAGAATACGCGTGAGTATCTTGATTATCTAGAGTTGTAGGGATTATTCCAGCGCGTAGAAACAGAGATAGGAAACTGGTGACTTCAGTAGCGTAGCGTTCTCATTTGATTTTCAGTGAGTGATGCATCTGCTCGTGCCGATATTGGCCATCGTGTTGGCCACCTGTCACGCGTTCGTGCCCAACGTGCTGCGTAAGTGCCAATTTTTTTCCCCCTCACAGATCATTCGATTTCAGCCGCGTTAATGAGGAGAAAATTCGTTTGTTCGTGGCAAAGAAGCCGAGGCATACGATGCGTATGCCGGTGGAATAAGTCTCTGCGGTTTCCTCGAGAAATTCAAGGAGTCGATCAAGAACGGGAATCAGAAGCTCGGCATCCCCGTTCTCGATCCTCTGAGAGTGAACCATCTGGACCTGAATGTCAACAAGGAAGAGCTTTTGTAAGCATACGTCCCGTGTTATGTCACGTCACAGCGTAAGATAAATGATAAGTGTAACATTACTTCTCGTTTGTTCGAACAGATTGCAAGGATACCTGAACAATATACACGCGATAGGTTTGTCCAACTACGTGGTAAATCGAGGCGATTTCTCGATCGTTGGTCTTATAGCCAACGTGAGTCTTTTGTTTAATCAGATCGACCTTATGACCGAGTACAATGTGAAAGGAACTCTCATGAATAAGATTTCCTTGTACGGACATGGAAATATCGCGTAAGCCTCCATTTTTTTTTTTCTTTTTATACTTGTAACAATTGATACGTCTAATGATCTAACAAGTTT